CCCGCAATCTTTCCTCAATTATGCTCATGGCTTGATCGATTTTAGAGTATTTTAGGGGTACAGCCATCTGTAGCTTTTCTTTTCTCTAGTTTCATCCATTTTGGGGATTTGGATTGGCTCATTTGCCTTTTCAGTGAAGATAAGATTGATATAGCTTTGAATATTTTCTTGATTGAAATTTGGAAATGTGGTCTGTTGTTGATAAAAGCTTGGAGTGACTTGACTCTGATGTGAAGCGAAACCTAAAGGAAACAGTGGCTCAGTATCTTCATGTGAGATGTTTTCTCTTGTTGCCTTTCCTCTATTTCTTTTTTCCAAAGCTTTCAAAATTTTGCTCAACTTTCTTTAAGTATCTCTTGAGCCTTTTCTATTCTTTTAAGTCGATCTATATTATTTTGCTCTATTTTCCTAGCTTTAGCTTGAGTGTAGTACTGGTGTTGAGCTATCCTTTAATCTGGATTTCCTACAATTATGGTGTAAATTTAGAATGATGTTTATGGACTTATCAGATTATGCATGAGAATGAAAGTGATGATGTATGAATGCATGCATACACAATAAAAAGAGGTTAGTAAGCATAATATGTAATCTACATGTATGTTTATGAATATGCATAAAAAGAAAAAATAAAAGAAGATAAAGAAATTAGTTAGTCACTTCAATAAAACATAGAATAAACATCATATAGCAAGATAAAAACATGGCCTTAAATTTTGGATTGACTTTAAAGGGTTGGAAGATAAGGCTCTATTTATGGTTAGGCTCTTAAAGTTATCTATATATGGTTTGGATCACTTCTAAAGGTTTTCAAATTATTCTTTATATCATAGTCCATCACAAACTAGTAAGGCACCCCAATCCTCACCATCATAGGCTACAAGTGGAAATGGTTCAATCTGAGTAAGAATGTTTCACATGCCTATACGAAAATATGAAATCTCACAAGAGTATAGGTACTTCACTCCCTCCTAAAGGTAGAGCCCGGATGGAGGGCTTATGTTATGCATATGCAAATGATTAACAGATATATACAGTGAACAAATGAATAACTAAAATGAATTTAAGCAATGAAAAGAAATAAAATAAGAAAGAAAATAAATTTCAGATCCTTTGAAAAACTTTCATTGCCCATTCTTTTGTCGACTTTCATATCTTTCCTTATAAAAGACATTAATAGCAAGTTCATTCTTATATCTGAAATATGTCTGACATCTTTTAAAGTTAATATATAGCCCGTACTAGTTTATATAACAATATCACTAATCCTAATAATTTACGACACACTTTTGTTTTCCATCTTGGTACAACCAAAGTTTCTTGCTTTGTAAGTTATAAACAGCTCCTTCTTAGGAACCTAATGATATGCCATTCCTATGTTAACTATCCACTCAATGTCGGGATTACCAACATGATTACAATCACCATGTGTACAAATCAAAGTAACTGAATCACTATCTAAATTCACTGTTGCAACATTGCTATCATCTGAACTCTTGCATTTCTCATCTTTTCGTTTTTGTTTCAAGATTTTGCAATATCATTTTATATGACCCGCTTTGCCACAATGGAAGCACTTCACTTTATCTTTAAACTTGAACCTATGTTTAGACTTACTATAACCTTTTGAGTTCTGACCTCTGTTGATGTTTCTACCCCTGTTCTCTGTGACCAAAGTTGATTCTCAGGGTTTGAATCTTTTTGCCTTGCTTATTTGTTAAGCATACTATCATTTACTATCTCCAATATCACTTTGTAATCAATAGTTAAATTAAGAACAATCACAACTAGAGTATTTCAACTGTTTGGCAATGAACCCAAAAGAAATAATGCCTTCATTTTATTATCCATCTTAAGCTCTACAATAGTCATCCGATTAAATATATCCTAAAAATCACTTAAGTGCTCTGTAATCGATCTCCATCCTTGTATTGTAAAGTTGCAAGCTTTCTAACAAGCATAACTTTATTCATACTTATTTTTTTCTCATACAATGCTATCAATTTTTTTCCAAACAGTGTGGGCATCTGTCTCCTACGCTACATGATGGAACACGCTGATATCAACCTATTTTTTTATTGTAGCCAGCGTATTTTTGGCTAACTTCTTCCAGCTTTAATCTTTTGTATCTGTTCGTTTAGCCGAATCAAATTTTTTTTAAATTTTTTCTTTTTGAAAAAATCTGAAAAACTTTTAGATTTTGGCAATATTCAAGTTTTCCAACAACTATTATGATTAAAATTCCAAGTGTCGATGCATTTTTTCAGAAACCAACAACAATCCAACCAAAGTTCATCCTTTTAAAGGGAGGAATAGAGAAAATAAAGGGAAGAGAGAGAAAATAAAAAAGAATTTTGAGGGAAAAAAATAAAGATTTGGGCCTTTTATACAAATCTTAAATAGTGCCATTTTGAATCTTAAAACCCATTTAGGATCTATGTGATTTCCCATTTTTTAATTCGTCATGCGCCCAACTTGACTGACAACCCAATTTCAACACTGAATCCAAGCCGAACGAGCTATTGAGGCACTAAGCCAAGACGTATCATCCTGAGTCATTTTTGTGTTTGCAACCGAACTGCACCTTCCAAGCTGAGCCGAGCCATCCCTTTTTTTTATAATTTTTTATTTTATTTTATTTGTTTAAATTTTTCCTATTTTAATTGATTTTAATTGGTAGGTTTTTTATTTTTATTTATTTTACTTGTGTAAATTTTATTTATTCTAATTGATATTTTAAAAAATTTTTAAAAATAGTTTTTTCTTCTTACAAAAAATTGGAGGATTTTAATTTTAAATTATGAATTCTACTGAACGATTGAAAATTTTCATAATGAATTTTGAAAAATAGTTTTTTTTCCTACTAAATGATTGGAGAATTTTAAATCAAATTGGTACCATCCTTTTGATGGGAGTTGTAAGGGTATTAAAACCTTTCTCGAACGTAACCGTATTCCTAGACCTAAATCTAGTTGTGTGGATTAGAACCTATCTTTTAAAGATACCTAAGTCAAACTTGAGACTTCGCTTTAAAATAGGACGAATTCAATTAGCTGATCAATCGCATATAGATAAAAAATATCAGTAACCACTTCTCTTATTATATCTAGCGGTGAGTTTACAAATTTATACATTATGGCATATACAAGCTTTTATAGTTGGGTAATATTGATTTGCTACTCTACCATGAATCAAGTTGGTACAAGATTCCTTGACTTCTTTGAACCAAGCTCTGATATCAGTTTGTTGTAACTAATCCAAGCAAGTCAAAATGACAGCAAGCAAATTCACCATAAAAGAATTTGAACTCGCAACAAAAAAAATAATTTGTGAAAATAACAAACAATAATTTGTGGTTTGGCTTTAAACCTATGTCCACGGATAAAGATGATGAAAAATTTTACTATAAAAATAAGATGACGATTATACAAAGTTTTGACACCTAAAGGCTAAAGCTCATTAGATTCCACTCTCCAAAAACCTGAGAACTACGACAAATTTTGCTTTTAAAATTGAAAGTAAATTTCACCTCTAGTCACCAATCTATCACCAAAATCCAAAATTGATTACTAAACTTTAATACGTACCAAATTGGTCACGTAAGCAGCCATGTAAGTTATTTTAAACAATTTGCCACATAAGCTTGTCTTTTTTTTCACCCAAACCCTAATTTTCTTCGCTTTTCTCAACTTTGCTACATGATCTCTTAACAGCCCCAAAGCACCCTAAAACAAAAGAAATTTGTCATCCTTCCATAGCCACAGCCATCGCTACACTCCTACTTTCCTTTTTTTTTTTTTCTCTCAGTTCCTCTCCTCACCGCTGCACTCTCCTGTGTTTTATGCCTTGGTTAAGTGCATTTTAGTATTTTAATAATGGGTTTTTTTCTTTTTGATTCATTTTGAGTATACTTTGCTATTCATATATTCATGTTGTGTAAAATATTAAAATTCATATAATATTTTATACGAAAATTATATATAATTTTTATGTTTTTATTTTGTATTTTGTTCGATTCTTATCATCTTACTGTATTTTAGAATGCCAGATTTATAGTGCCTATTTCGATATAGATTCTCTACCTTCCATGGCCGTATCTCCCCGATGGTGTATGCTTATGTCCCTTTTCTTATTTGCCAATGAATATCTGTCAGCGTTTCTATTAAACAATTAACTTAAAATCAATTGGCTTCTCTTTATGCCAATTGATTTTAAGTTGAATATTTAAAAGTTTACTTCTCTTTCTCATTGCTTGTAAGTAGTCAGAACAACTTTTGTTTTTATTGCTAATAAAAAAAAAGGGGCTAATCTTTTATCCTGACTTTTTGTATAAAGAAGGAAGTGTGCATTTTTAACCGTTCCTCTTGCTAGGCTTTAAAGTTATAGCCATTACGTAACAAAGAAATTACATAGTCAATTTGAAATTTCAGCGAGTTCAGGCAAGTGTAAATGCAAGTCCTCATAAATCTGGAAGGGATCGAATCGAATCCTTGGTTTTAATTTTAACGATTCATTAATTATATGTACCTTAAGATTTATGGTGGCTGAAATGAGTTAATGTACCCCATAATTTTATGGAGCAAAATAAGTTGTTTGCCTGTTTCAGCAATTCGAAACATCTGCAAGCCCCCAACTAACACAGCATATATAGTAAGAACGAGCAATAGCACGAAAGGTATTTCTTTGTTCTGTTCTCATCTTTTTTATTAATTTTAATTTTGAAATATTAAAAATATTGTTGTATAATTATTTTTCATATTTTAATAATAAAATATTATGAAATGGAAGGCTTGATATATTTTGCAAAAAGAGTAATTATCATGATTATTTGTTCAAAAACGAACCTTATAACATTTAAAGCTTGTTAAAAGCAAGTAACGTAAAGTAATTAATTTTGGAATGTCGACATTGAACATTGTAAACCGAAAAGGCAAATGCTCACTATAAATACTAATTTAAAGTACATAAATAAATCAATAGTACAATACCATCAAGAAAAGATCATGAAAATAATCAATTGCATTTTCATTTTCTTCCTCTTGCTTCAATATCAATTCTTCTCACTGGGTTCTGCAGATGTTGTTACAGTACCTCCATTTATAATAAGTAAAAAATCTATTTTGAAATATTTATCCTTAGAGAACATCAACTTTGATGTGCCAGCTTTATACGTATTTGGAGACTCTTATGTTGATGCGGGAAATAATAATTATGTTCATGTCCCGCAAATTGAAAGAAATTATACTCCATATGGAATAGATTTTGGTGGAAAACCTACGGGTCGTTACACCAACGGAAGAACAGTAGCGGATTTCATTGGTATGAAAATAAAAAATTAATGAATTACAAGTTATTGATTTTTGTGTTGTCCTCAATTTTTACTCTCGTGTAAAAATTATTGATTACTTTATTTTTTATTAATATAATTATGCAGCTCAAATTGTTGGCTTGCCATTCCCTCCTCCTGTGCTAAGCTTGTCTAAGGGAGACAAGAGAATTCCTCAAACTGGTATAAATTATGCTTGCGGTTTCACTGGCATCCTTGAAAATTTTGGAAAACTGTTTGTAAGACACCCTAATTTGCATAATTTTTTCTTTCATATTATTTGTTTGTTTTTTTTTTTTCTTGGACATATTGTATTATCAAACACTCTTTTTTCTTAAGTAGAATTTGTAATTTCATCAGGAACGAATGCCAAGCTTGAAGGAGCAAGTAGATTTGTTCGAGAGCACAACAAAAGGGTTGCAGAGTCAATTTCAAAGCAAGGAAAGTTTTTCTAGATACTTGTCAAAATCACTTTTTTTTATCAATAGTGTTGCGTATGACTTGGATATCGAGTGGGATGGATTGCGCTATTTCTATGATGAGAACTATTATACTCAACTTCTCATAAAAGACTTATCCAAGCATTTACAGGTAAATTAGTCAGAACCAATGTTAAAATATTCTAAATCTTTTGATAATTTTATACATAATATGTAAACGATATGAAAAATATATAAAAGCAATACAGTTTAAAATTAAAAAAAATATATAAATTTGATAAAAATTAAAAAATATATCTTATATTTAAAATATTCACAGAAATTATAACACAACAATTTTTATATTTTGTACGTGCTTAACATGAAACATATATGACACAAATGCATGAATTATCAGATGTAACCTCAAATTAATTAGATGGTTGCCTTGACCTAATTATAGAGATGGATTTTTTTTCCTTTTTCTTTTTATATTTGGCAATTAGTGGCAACCATTTAACACCAAATTTGTTGTTTTTGTTTTTGTTTTTTACACATATATAGAGATTATATCAGCTTGGTGCACGTAAAATTGTGGTGAATAATGCATCTCCAATAGGATGTCAGCCGCATCTAATAAGTGGAGGTAGGAATGGACCAGAATGCGACTACTTAGCCAACAACCGGGCATTGTTATTTAACAAACGCCTGACTAATTTATTAAAAGACTTGCAATCCACCCTTTCGGGATCAAAATTTGTTCTTGGAGATCTATATAAAATTTTTCAAGATGTCTATGCATCGCCTACCTGGTATGGTGAGTATTATTCAATATTTAGGCCCAAATTGACATTGTGATTGAAAATAGATTTACTTAATTGTAAGTAATTAAATGTTCCATCAAATTTGGTGTTTGGGATCAAACCTTAGTAATTCTTTTGCTTTAACATTTGAGATTAAAAGATATATTTTTCTTTTTCTTTCTGCAGGATTTACCGATGTAAGGAGCAGTTGTTGTACTGAAATAGATAAAGGTTTAACTAAACCATGTCTTGCAAATGTAGCACCATGCAAAGACAGAAGTAGCCATGTTTTCTTCGACCCAATGCACCCAAGCGAGAGTATGCATTTCATATGGGCAAGGCGTCTCTTAAAGGATTCATCAGTTTCTTCTCCCATCAACTTGATTCAGCTAATACAATCTTAAATCTGACCATGTGTCTTATGCTTTCTTAATGCCAACATAACAGAATAAATTTCATAGTAAGACTTGGCCCTTCAATTTTTTTTTTCCTTTTTTCCTTTAAAGAGAAAGAAATGCTTAATTCAATAAGAAGAATTGCATGTTGTCTTTCTTGGCAGTCCATTGATAATAACATAAAAGACCGCTTAGTTATGTTATTCATGAACCAGATCAGTATACATTAATTGCTTTACCTTAATTTTTATTAAAATATCCATTGTTGAGAAGTTCAGTCCGAGAAAGCATAAAAAGCGTAAAAAGTGTTTACTTTTAATTTTTTATTAAAAAGTGTTGCAAGTCTCCTTGTTGACAAGACAGGCTGGGGATTGGGTGAAGAATTTCAGTGGGGTATGAAGACTTTAAAGTGTCAAACCAGTCATTTGGTTTTCAGATTGAAGAGTAGATAGCTAATTGGTTTGTTCAGATGATGCAGTTGTCTTTTTTCTTTTGGTTTTGTAACCTGTCATGGTACAACTCCATTGCTCTTTGTAGCAAGTTTTCCCTGCCTTTTTTTTTTTTTTTCTGATAAAAGAATTTTAATTACTGAAAAAAAAATTAGCAAATTGCCTAAAATCTAGTTATGCCAAAGAGAAGACTAAGAATCAAATTAGAATATTTATTAGCAACTGGGTCTGTTTTTGAGCAGGGGCTGCTTCAAAAGTAACTGATTGATGGTATCTATGATTTGTTCGCATCAAGCTAAGCATAAAAAGGGAATAAAGCATCATATTTGCAACAATGTGAAATGACTTGAACCACTTAAAAGACAATGAGTAATGAGAGTGTGATCTGATAAGCTTTTAAACACAACTTCCAACAACATTGTTTCACTACATTCTTAAAATTAAATCATTCGAAATTAACTGAAAGTATATAAACAGTACTCCTAGAGAAAATCCTTAAAGTTGCATTAACTCAAACAAGGTAAATGGAGAACAGACAGAGTGGTCCTTCAAAAAGCGCCTCATCCAAATGAAATGAAAACTCTCGGTCGGATGGAATGGGTCAAAGAAGACATGGCTCGTTCTGTCAGCGCAAGGAGCAACTTTTCTGGCGCATCCTCTAGTTCCATTCCTCGCTTCGTCAATGCAACAAGAACCATTGACATTCGTAAACCCTGCATTAACAAAGAACAAATGAACTAAATGTTTCATAATATTTTATTAAATAAGAGAGAAAATTTTGGTGTGGTATTCTTTTTCCTAACAATTCTCACCATATGCTGCTGGTTGAGTGTAAACATCTTCAAACACTTTATATAGATCACACAGCACAAATGTGGAACCCTTCAAGGATGTTTCCAACTTTGTCAACAAGTTGGGAAGGAGTCCATTGTAGAAAGCTATTCTCTGGTTAACATCTTCAACACAGGAAGTATTGTGCATTTTTGTGTTCAGATTGAAAGGTTGGCAGCCTAATGGAGAAACCATTGTTAACCAGGAATTTCCTTGCTCCCAGTTGGTATATTGCCTGCATCATGATCATTAAAAATGTATAAAATTGAATATACAATTTCAATACTATGTAAAGATAAATTTAAAACAGTCATTTACCTCCAATCTACCGGACAACTCCTCCGATAAGAAGAGTGCATAATCTTCTGCAGTTCGGAACTTTCGCTTTTGTTCAAGATCCCAATATATGCCTAAGTCATTGGTCCCTATGTGGATAAAGAACAATGACTTAGACAGGTAAAGAGAAAAGCTTTCAGGGCTGTCAAAATGACCCTTCAAGCTTCTTGTTGTGTCGTTCAACAACTCTATTTGTTCATCGAAGCTCAAAATATGTCCCTGGTGTAGTATTATATACAAAAGGTCAATTGTACTCAGAAGTTTAAGTTTTGGTACTCTAAATTTCACACAGTGATTAGGAAAAATAACTTGAAGCAAGAAAAATTGCAAAATTATTTTTGTGGCTAAGATAACTCACAAATATTTCCACAGCAGGAGGAGGCAGAGGCAGTATCCCGCTAGAACCGGAGCCATAATTTACACCACTAACAAAGATTTTCCTCTCGGTTTCAGACAATCCGAGCATTGGGGGTGGAAATGGCAGGCCAGCAACTTGAGCTTTATCATTAAAAGTGAATATCAGAAATCAGAGAAAAGCAAACTTACAAGAAATACAACATGAACCAAAAATCATATTTTTGCCAATATAAAGTAAGCAACAAGCAGCATGGAATACAAAAAAATTACAATCCCTGTACCAATAAAATCCACAACGGTTCTCCCGTTGGTGGCACGACCGGTTGGCACTCCTCCAAAATCAATACCATATGGTAAGAAATTGGCTTTGGCTATTGTGTCAAGAAAATTGTTATTACCAGCATCTATATACGAGTCCCCAAAAACATATAGAGCTGGCAATCGAAGAGACAAATTTTCGGAAGCTAGATATTGGAGGAAGGCAGTTTGATTATTATTGAAATCAGGTGGTATATAAGATTCAGAATAAATATGAATCACATAGAAGCACTGAAAAAACAGACTAAGCAAACCAAGACAACTAGCAAAAATGAAAGCCATTGAGGTGCTAAAAGTTTCAAACTGTTGTGTGAGAAAGAAAGACGGGACAATCGCTACAGATTTTAAGAATTTTGAAGTGAAGAGAAGGAGAGGGGAAGGGAAGATGCAGTATATATGGATCTCACAACAAATGCACTACTGAAGGAAGATGCAGTATGTTCCGCTGGCAGTAGACCTATAATTGACATTAATCCGAATAATGAGTAATGACTTTTGACAAACCTAGGTGCATGCCACCCTACATATCTACACTGCTTTGAACTTTGGATTTCCATTGCTAGCCCTAGACATTTTTCTTACTTACTTCAATCACTTACCGTCCAAAGATAGCAGCAAAATAAATTTTTTGTTGACTATCAAAATTATCAAAATCATGGCCAGTACTTGCAGTGAAAGAAATCATGCAACATTTAAAAACAATATCTCATCTAATCACGTCACAAGAATGTTAACATCAATAATTATTTATGTGAAAACAAAAGTAATAAAAGAAAACATTTATACTTTATCCTTTGTAATCGGCACATGCAAAGGGAAAAATATGTACAATTGCCATATCCACGAGAGTAATATTTAAATAAAATATTTTAAATACAGTTGGTAGAATTTTTTATTAAAAATAATTTAATAAAATTATAATAAATATTTTAAAACAATAAATTGATAAAATTCAATAAAAAATTAATAATATGTAAAAAATAATGAAAATATTATTTATAATTTGAATTTGATTAATATTTATTTAATGATGAAATTAATGTCAAAATTTTCACTAAAAATACTTATTTAAAAAATATATCATAATTTATTAATTTTTTTAAAAATGTATTTATTTGATCTATTTGACAAAAATTTTTATTTTATCGATTTTGAGTTTTAATTCTGATTTTTATTTAATTATTTTTAATAAAAAATTGCATCTAAAAAATTTTATCTAACTCTTTTCTATCCATGATATATATATATAGATTAAATAATTTTTAATAATAATTTGATAATTTTAAATATAGTATAATAATATAATAAAAAAATATATGAAAGCGACGTACCTTTTTTGTGCTTGTCATCTTAACGAAACACTCTATTCAGCAATAGCACGTCATTGCATCAATGACAGTACTGTTTGCTTCCTCTTAATTTAAAGCAACTAGTTAATTAAGACGTGAAGATGCATACAATAATTCGATCACAGGATTATCAATTTTAATTTGGAAAAGATATAGTTGCTAGATATACTTAAGTGATACCTATGCAAATTAGATATTATATGTATTATAATGCTTAAAATGAATCAGTTAAAATGCTCAAGTTGTTGTTACTTGGAAAGAGGTTTAATCTCATCCTTGAACACGAAATGATATATCTTGATGAATAATTAATTATTATGAAGAGTCAAATATGATTGATAATCCGATTTGATTTCGTCAGTAATTTAAAATAAGTTTCTGTTGTGGTTTTTTTTTTTTTTTTTTTCCATTTGAATGCAATAATTAATGATGCAGATAATTATAGAAGTGAAAACAGAAACAAAATTCGAATGAAACAATTTCAAATTAATTATTAAATCTCATAAAAAATAAAAAATTCATGTGATACTCATGAAATTCTGTATTGGTGTTGGTTGTACTTTCATTTCAGTTGTGTCCTATTCTTGGCATACTTGGTCATTAAAATATTTTCTCCGCTGGAAGAAGAAAATGCTGGCTGGCTTGATTTGATTTCAGGTCAAAAGATTAAACCACAATCTATGCATTAAGGGGAAAAAAACTATGCATCATTGCGACTGATAATCAAAATTTTTTTTCCACTCTTTTCAAGCTCAATTGGCCTTTGATGTTCCACTCTTCTAACTTTTTCTTACACAAATAATATTTTCATTTGGAAAGATGAGGAGCAACTTGATTTCGTCGAACGTATTCTTAGTTGCTTTCCTTCATATCTTCTTGCTAATTCACAGTAAGCCTCTTGTACCGGCTCTGTATGTGTTCGGAGATTCATTGTTTGACAGTGGCAACAACAATCTTCTTCCCACTGTTGCCAAGGCAAATTACCCACCTTACGGCCTGAATTTTGGCGAACACTTGACCGGTACGTTCACTAATGGAAGAACTCTTCCAGACTTTATAGGTATTGAAGATTTTAATAAGTTAAAATCAATTCTTCATGATTAAACTATTATTAATTGCCATATGTTTCTAATTTTTATCCTTTTTTTTTAATTGAAGCTGAATTCCTTGAGTTGCCATACTCTTTGTAGACATCCATACGTGTCCGAGGTCAGTTAGGGTCGATTTGTTTTAGTTTGTGTATTTATATTATTTGATATTATATTATAGTATAGTATATTAATATATTATATGATATAGTATGTTGTTATTATTATTATTATTATTATTATTATTATTCCTTTTCCTTTCTCTTTGACCGGTAATCCAGGAAATTGAAATTCAGAAATTCAATGCAGTCAAAAGGTTTTAATTCATAATCAAAGGGATTTTTCAATCAATCCAAGAAATCAGCAATGAACCTAGACATGTCTTGAGATTCGAACAGAATCAAATCCCAGGATTCAAGCCTAGATTAATTCTGTCTGTTTCCTAAATTTTTTCTAAGGATGCTTATAAATCAAACTAACACTACAAAAGAACAAAAGGAATGAGCTGCAATACTCTTTGTAGACACCCATATGTATCCGAGGTCAGTTAGGTCGATTTGTTTTAGTTTGTGTATTTATATTATTTGATATTATATTATAGTTGTCATAACGTTTAGATCCGGGGATCTATCGCTAGACATTGACTTTTAGGGAGTCGCTACCAATCTTTTTTATCTAGGTGCGATTGGTCACCTAAAGAATTTGTCCTTTTAGGGAACGCCTAAGTTTAAGGACCCCTAAAAGAATAGGTTCAGGTCTACTAACCAGAACAGGCAGGGTTCGGGAGTTCGATTACATGTGAGGAAGGTTATAGCACCCTCACAACGCCCATCAAAAGATAGTACCAGCTTAAATTTGTGTTATCCAATGAGCCTTAAAATTTTACCATGTAATTAACTATTGAAATTATTCTCAATTGACTCTAATACTTTTAGCAGAAAACTGAGAAAATTCTCTTACCTTAGGAGTATGCAAGAAAACTATTGTTTCACTTGCAGAGGCTCTATCATCGGATTAGTTAAAGAAAAATCAAAATCAAAATCAAAATAGAAAGGAAGGAAAGAATGATTGTTTTTGTGCAGGAAAAATTGATACTTTCAACTTTTCCCCAAAAATACTTTTTTGAAAATTTATTTTTAAGGAAAATTGATACTTTCAACTTTTCCTCAAAAATATTTTTTTTTGAAACTCTGATTTTCAAGGAAAATTGATACTTTTAACTTTTCCCTAAAAATATTTTTCGAAAATTTTGATTTTCAAGGAAAATTGATACTTTCAACTTTTCCCCAAAAATATTTTTTGGAAATTTATTTTTAAGGAAAATTGATACTTCCAACTTTTCCTCAAAAATATTTTTTTTGAAACTTTGATTTCCAAGGAAAATTGATACTTTCAACTTTTCCCCAAAAATAGTTTTTGAAAATTTATTTCTAAGGAAAATTGATACTTTCGACTTTTCCTCAAAAATATTTTTTTTGAAACTTTGATTTCTAAGGAAAATTGATACTTTCAATTTTTTCTCAAAAATCCTTTTTTGAAAATTTATTTTTAAGGAAAATTGATACTTTCAACTTTTTCCTAAAAATATTTTTCAAAAATTTTGATTTTTAAGGAAAATTGATACTTTCAACTTTTTCCCAAAAATATTTTTTGATTTTTATTTAAAGAAAATAGAACAAAATAAAAGTGAAAATAAATAAAGATAAAAAAATAAAGAAAAGTAAAACAAAAATAAAAATAAGATAAAGATAAAAAATATTAAATAAATCTAATCTAATAGAAAAAATAAATAAATAAAACAAATAAATAAAAAAATTTCAAAAAAAAAAAACCTGGAGCGACTCGGCTATTGGCTCGGCTCAAGGAAGAGAAACGGCTTGGGGGGCGGCTTGGGAAGCTCGGCTTGGCTCGGAGGGGGGCAGGCACGTGCGGGTCAGGAAGCGGGTCGACGTTCGGGTCGGGTCGGGTCTCGATAAAATGCGCGGATCCTCTGGGTCACTTAAGGCCAAAACGACGTCATTTTGGAAGGGTATATAAGGTCCTTCCCTCTGTTTTTCGATAGAAAGCTCCTCCCCTCTCTCTCTCTTCTTCTCTTTTTCTCTCCCTTCTCTTTAAAGGCTGAAGAACTCCAATTGAATTTCGTCGGATTCTGGAAATTGTCACTGAAATCTGGAAAATTTCACCGGAAGTTGGCCGGAAGGTTGTCGGTTTCTGGAATTCTTCGTCGGAAACTGGGCAGCTCACCTAAAACTTCAAATTTGGTCAGAAATTTCGCTGAAAATTTCAAAATTCGTCGAAGAATTCAATCGGAATCTAGAATTTTTCAGAAATTCCCAGAAAAAAATCGTCAAAAAATCTTTAAAAAAAAAATTCTGCTAACTCTCAAAACACTCCTAAACCTTTTCTTAGCTTTCTATACGCCTCCTTTTCTCTCAAATCAATAGCTTTGCTCATTATTTTTTCTGTCCCTGCTTCTGTTCCCAGAGGGTCCCTTTTATAGGGATTGATCAAGAGTTCCTGATCAATCCCAATTCCTCCTTGAACGGGGATTCAATATTTGAATCCAATCTGGACTCTTCTGATTGAATTCCCATTCACAATGGGATTCTTCAACTTTCAATCACAGCCATCAAAAAAGAAAACAAAAAAATAATAATAATAATAATATAATAATCAGATAAACAAAAATCATATAAACGGAACAAGAAAAGAAAAAAAAATTATTAACAGATAATTAGAAATACAATAAGATAAATCCAAAAAATATTACAAGAAAAAAAGAATAATAAATAAATTATAATATAATATAAATATAACTATATAATAAAATACATATAAATATTAACAACAAAAATAAATAAATAAGAATAACATATATTAATACATAATAATAATAATAAAATACATAAAATACAAAAGAAAAAAAATAAAATAATACAAGATACAAATTGAATTGGGCTTACCCATTTGGGCCAGGCCCAATTGATCTGGGCCTGGACCCAATTGGGTGTCTACAGCTGCCCCTCTTTGCACATTTTCTGTGAAACAGAAATTGCGCAAAGACGTAGACACCCAATCAAGACTCAACTCAACATTGTCATTTTTTGTTTTTTTTTGTGTTTTTTTTTGTTTTTTTTTTGTTTTTTGTTTTTTTTTTTACCAAAGCTCCTCTAAATAGAGGCTCAACGACTTTGAGAAACATAAATTGCTCCTCTAAACAGAGGCACCACGACTTTGAAAAATAAATTGCTCCTTGACAATCATGTCCAAAGGAGTTGAAAGTTGTGTTTGAAGGAATTTCAGGAGATTATGCCCAAAGGTCTTATAAATCAACCCTGATACCAGAAGACATCCTATTTCAAGGATTAGGGACTTACCTGACAAGCTTTTTCTTTTTCAATTTTGCAAAATATCTTCATATCTGTCTTCTCCATGTGGGATGTTGGAACACCCTTGCTTCTTGAATTTATACACTATACTTTCCTGAAAGTAGTGTATGCTATGCAAATGCATATGAATTTCAATGCATGCTATGCAAATGTTGGCCAAATAATTCCTATTCAATGTATGGTACTCAAGTTTCTCAAGCTCTTTTTTTTTTTTCTTTCTTGGGTGTCAAGCCCTTTGATTCCTCAAGGATCCAATTGCACTGCTCTTCTAATAATCAATTTTGGATTTTGGTGATGGAAGGTGACTAGAGGTGAAATTTACTCTCAATTTTAAAAGCAAAATTTGTCGTAGTTCTCAGGTTTTTGGAGTGGAATCTAATAAGCTTTAGCCTTTAGGTGTCAAAACTTTGTATAATCGTCATCT